CAACTATTCCAACTTATGATTATGTATATTTGAGAGAAATAAGTAGGCTGTCAAACTCATGACTATGTGTATTTTCAAAAATATCCATCGAAATACTCATGATTATGAATATTTGGATGGATTTTTTGAAAATAAACCTAAAGAGATGGGTAAATTGAGTTGATAAGTTTTTGGTATTTTAATAAAGAAAAAAGTTTATATAAAGTTGCAACTTTCATAATTACAAATGCACCTCAAAAATCCATCAAAAAAAGTTATTTTAATATATGAACTTGAAAAAAAATATATTTTGCGTCTCAGAAATAGTGCATCTTGCAACATATTATCTAGACCATCCATTTTCAAGATTTTCATATGTTTATAGATCTACTTGATTTTAACCATTTTTGGATTTAAAAATTTTCTAGTAAGGTTTGAAAATAGATTTTGAGATAATCCTAATAATATTGTTCACCAAAATTACATCTTATAATAAAATTTGAAGGTGTGCCCTAATTGGATTGTTTAAGGTTGCAACCTCATAGAAACCGCACCCCTTAATAAAATCCCATAAAAAAATCCCTTTGACCCATAAAGTGTTAAATAGTTGAATAATTTTGGATGCTTTAATTCTAAACAAGCCAAAAATTGTCGATTTCATGGATGTTTTAAATTAGGGACTTTTGTTCAATAATTTGACTAGATTTTCCCATGATTTATATGAAATAGCTTATGGATTTGCAGGCTTAGATTGGGAAGCCATTTAAAACCTTCCGAACCTGTAAATCCAGGAGTTTCCAATATTTTTCCAAAAAGAAAACTTTTTATTTTTATATGACTCTCCAGGGCTTAGACCAGCCCCACCAGTTTTGAGCAATGGAGTTAACTAAGCGATCGATAAAAACTTTCTGTAATCGTGTGAATAGCGTGCTTCTCTGGGAGATACATTCCTTTTGGGAAATAGAGGTACTTTGGTTTTTTTTTAATAAAATTTTAAGAATCATATATGAATGAATTGCGAGGTAATTATTTTTTTAAAAAAAAGAAAAGAAAAGAAAAAAAAGATGAAGTTTCTATAGGGCACAGGCTTTACGAAAACAAAATAAAACCTCACCTCAAATCCTCATCCGGAAAGTACTTTTGGCATCGGAAATCTTTATGATGGCTCTAAAACAATTTTCAAAACCGACAGTAAAATTTAAAACTCAGAAAATAGTATAGACCTTACGGATCTAAAAACGCTTATTTTTTGGGTAAAATGGATGGTCCATATGATTTTTTGGGATATACATTATTTTTAGAACTTGAAATGCTAATTTCTTTGCACAACCATAATCTTCAAGCTGAGATGATTGATATAAAGGTTTTTGAATAGTAATTTTTTAGGAGTTATGAGGTGTGGCTTTACTTATTTTGATAGGGCTGCAACCCTATCAAACCATTTTTCAAAAAATAAAAGGTATTTGAGTTTTTTGACGCTCATATCTATGCTAACTCTCCAAAATTCTTATAAAGACCTGGTTTCTATGCCGCCTTGCCCGCACATGTAGAAATGCAGGCTTCTAAATAAATTTAATTTTTGAGATGGATTTTAAGACTTAATTTCAAGGACATTTAATCTCTGACGTAGGGATCATGAATGTGAAAAAATAAATAAAATTTTAAAACTAAAAATAATAATTTTATTAAAAAAAACATTTGGACCATTATTTTTCATTGGTTTTGGATAAAACACCTACTTGCATTCATATTTAAGATGGATGTTTTACACTTTCTCGACCGCATATGTAGAAATGCTGTCCAGCCCACATGAAACAATTTTCCTTCTTATAATGGCACGTATAACATGGTCTAAATGTGAGCGTACTTTAACTTTTTTTTTTAATTAAATTGTGAGATCCATCTATGAATCACCAAAAGGTTTTTTATAAAAAAAATAAATTTTGAGTTTTTTTTGACTCTTAGATCTTTCCTTCAAAATTTGTATCGAAGTCATTCAGCCTATGATTTGAATTCTTTGAGGAGATTGGTCACCAAGTTGAAAGGTTAAGTAACAAAAAAATACGAGGTCTTGGCTTTCAACGGTGCGAGCAAAGGGAGAGATTGTTCTAGCAGGACCATAAAATCATTTCACTTCTTTATAAAACGCTCCCCTCATGTTTCCGCCCGTTACGTTTCCGTTTTGTTAAAAAGAACGGCAGCAGGGGGACGTTTTTGTCTTATTGAGTCTATAAAGGGTAAAAGATGAAAATAGCACTGAGGGTTGCCTCCGTATTAGAAAGAGAGTAAGAGAGAAGAAAGGGTTCGATCTCTCTCTCTCTTTCTCAAGCCTCCAGGCTCAAGGCAAGTTTTCCGGCAAGAGTCGCCGGCAAGACTTTGTCGAGAAGCTCGCACTAGGTGAGTATTTTTTTTTTTCTTAATATTTATTTTAGAAAATACCGAAATAGGGTTTAGGAAAATGATTGTGTTTACTTTCCGGCAATATTCCGGCGATAATCCGGCAATAACGTAAATTGTTTGAAATTGAAATTGAATATTCCTTCAGTTCCACAAAAAAGTGGACAAAGATTAGATAGAAAATGAAGCTAGTAAATGGTCGGAAAGGTTTTTGTAGAGAGATGAAGGGAAATTTTGGGGGATTAATTGTTGTCTTGGATAGAATTGAGAAAGAGCGTTTGGCTTTAGTTTTAGCTGGATTGATTATTTGTAATATTATTTTGATTTGTTTTCGTTTAGATTTTTTCGGGTTTTTTTTTTGCCATTTTCTTTGTTTTTCCCTAATTTGACCGGTGCCGTCACCGGTTCAGTCTGGTCCGATTCGGAAAACATTTTATTTTATAGTAAGTCGCTGTGTGGTCTCAGGGTATTTATCAAAGCAGAGCTTGCGTATCAAAAGCTCTAAAGAAGCCTGAATATCAAAGTACTGCCTCTCAAGCTCTACAGTTTCATGACACAAGAAACAAATATGGTGGGAACAGGAAGGGAGAAATCACAGACGCAATGGATGTTGGATTTGATGAATGGGAAGGTCACCATAAACAGAGAGGAAAAGGCCGAGGAATGGAAACAACGTTGCATTTACAAAGTCCCATGCTTCCTGAAAGAGCGAGCTCCTTAACGAAGCCTTCATTCCCAGGGTTGGGCCCCTTTCACCATGGCTCCCCGCACCTCCAACCCATGGAGCAGCACAAGCGTCGACAGCTCCTCCACTTTCTCAACCGCTCGAAGCACCCGTCCCAAGTATACCTTGATGCACTCCAAGCCAAGGAGCAGGCGATACGGGACTGCTACGAGTGGCCAGGCGACCTGGCCCCTCCCGAGAGCACCGAGTTCATTAACATGACGCTGCTTGACGGCTGTTTCCTGCTCGAACTCCACCGCATCAGCCGAACAGACGGCGAGACAGGCTACACAGCCGAGGATCCAGTGTTTGGCTCAAAATCGGCATTGTTCTTTGTGCATCACCACAATTATCGTGACCTTATGATGCTGGAGAATCGAATCCCTTTGATGGTCTTGAACACTCCGTTGGACCCACTTGGAACAGGGATCTGCACCAGGGTGAATGAGGTGGTGCTTGAGTTATTAGGGGAGGAGATTCAAGGGTAGGTTTCTGAGGGCAAGATGGGGTTACATGCACTGCAAGTTTACATGATGAACAGTCTCGTCGGCAACATCTCTGAGATCGAGGATTTGAGTGACCCGGAGCCATATTTCAAGAAGTTGCCCTCGGCCACAGCGTCGCATGAAGCTGGGGTGAGGTTCGAAACTAGCGGCATGAGTGGGCTCACCTTCGAACGCGGAGTGCTACGACTACCATGGATAGCCAGCCATTCACGGATTTACAGTTCGTATCATAATTCTCGTGACTGGTGTAGACCAGTTGCTGCACTTGGTTGGACTATTAACCGGTATCATGGCTGGTATAGTCAAAAGCAAAACTTATATTTGGTTAAAAATATAATGAAACTAATATTTGACAGGTGCTATGGGTTTGAGTGTCCACCTAAAATGTGAAAACTTTCTTGTTTTTACATATGTATTCTATATTTTAAATTATTATTTGTATTTTATTATTATTTTAACCTCTAATCTTTTTGTTTTTTTTTAAATAATAATTTAACTAATTTTGACTATTCCAAACCTCTCGTAAGTTCAATGACCAATGTAATCCTAATCACCGGTTGGTATATATATTGAGGTGCCCCCATACTGGAATCCATAATAGATATAGTGTTGCAATCATCAACACGATATCATAGTGGTTCAAAGTTTCAAACATCCAAATTTGATCTGATTCAAAAGGTGAATGGTTCTAGTCTAGAAATCCTTGGAAATGCTTGATTTTTAGTTTCTCTGTATTTCTATTCTAGATTTTTTTTATATTATTGCTTGGTTTGAATCGGGGATCATCCAACCTTAGGGGAATGACCACTACTGCCCACTCAGGACCTGATTCTGATCCTTTAAACACTACGACTTTCAACCAACTCGGAACCAGATCACTAGGTGTTATTATAACTGAAAAGTAGGATACTGTCAATTTTTTTATTTTTTTGTATTTACAAAAGACCAAAAGAACGTAATTCAAAGAAACTCCAGATTTCTTATCTTTATGTATCTATTTTTGCAACGACTGAATGCAAACACCTTTCATGTCGGAAAAGTCTCCTTAAACGACTTATCACGTGACTTCGATGGATTGAATACATTATAGAAATGAAAAACTTGAGTGCATCGTAGTATTTTGCTTTATTTTATTTTTTAAGTGCAATGTTCTATGATTAGTTTGACACATTGCATGTTCCAATGCGGTAGGCACTATGGTGTGCCTCCAAGAGGTGGGCTTGATTTATAGGAAAAAATTAAAACAAAAATTCAAAAAAAAAAACTTTTGAGTTTTTATTGGATTCACACCTTGAGAATTATAAAAAAAGGAAAAGACATTGTTAGAAAACACATGCACCTTGAGAATTGCAAAAAGAAGAAAAAAAAAAAAAAACTTGATTCTATTTTGTTTTAACTATTTTGTAAATTATGTTTCAGGAAGCCTTTCTCTTGAATATAATGGTATTTGAGAATGTCAGGAATTCTAATTGTGTCAACTCAAATGTAAGTTTCTTGAATGATCTGATAGACACAATCAAGGACATTGAACTGCTAGTTTTTTCTGGAATCATAGAGAATAGGATGCGAAGTGATGAAGATGTGACCGAGGTCTTCGACAAGGTTACCAAGGGGATAGTCTTTTCTGAGAATCCCCACTTGATGGGTGTGCAGACCAGGCTCATCTGCCATTGCAAGACGAGTCGTTACAGATGGAGGGCCTACTTCATCCACACCTACCTTACTGACCCATGGATGCTTATATCGTTGCTGGCAGCGATATTCCTACTGCTGCTAACGGTGCTTCAGACTCTGTATACAGTGCTCAGCTATTACAAGTAATTTAACCCATGAGACTTCACTTCCTCTAGCTGTAACTTCACCCATTGCATGCAAGTGTATTATGATCCTGTGGTTAGGCCACAGTGATTTTGGCGCAATGAGTCCTTACAAATTAGTCTTGAAGATCATTCCTGAATAAAGAAGCACTGATTGGATCGGTAGAACTGCATTTAAACCAGAAGATTTCATACTCTCAGAGTAAGAGCATATCATCTATTTATTCTAATATCACTTCAAAGAATGTATTTTGGAACTCAAATTTGTGGATGTAACTTCTTCAAACGGTTGAATAACTTCAATTAGAAAAAAAAGGAAATTGCAAACCATTTGTTGCTTTCTCTTTATAGCCACAAAAAATTTCAACAAGAGAAACTTATACCACACTCCTGAAATGAAAATAAAGAAGGCAAAGCCTTAAGAGGGTTGAAAGATTGATGAATTATTAAAAATCAGTAATCACAAAAATGCTACTTTAGATGATGGAACACAGGCAATTTTAAAAACATGGCAACCCGCAATCGCAAGTAACATGTTAAAGAAACTTCGTGGACTTTGCAAGAATCCCCAACTAAAAGGTTTTTTTTACAGTGGAACAATTTGTTAACAAAAATAAATATAGAAAAGAATTCCTTTTAAGTGAGACTACAGGTGCCTGATGTTGGATGAAGGGAGGAAGGAAGTGTTTTTTAGTATTTTATAATTACACATATAAAAGAGACCAATTCAACCCAATTTCTTCACACCACAAATACATACTGTATATATAGAGGCCTTTGATGACCTTTCTAATTCTTTCTGCACCTTCCTGGTGTAGTTTCATCACTCTTGCCATATGCACTAAACATTTGGACGAATTTACAAGCCATTACAAGAAAATTCAATACTTCACACGTTCCAAATTCAAATTTGTATGTATGCTTTGGACTCCTTCTTCATTCGAATCAATGTTATCAATTCGTTTTGCTTCAGTCGAAGGAGCCGAAGCTTTCAGATTTTAAGCATAAACTGAAGCGTGGTATTACCGCTTTGGTCAGATTTGAGCCGCTTCAAGCTACTTCAGCCTTCTTCGAGTTTACTTCGTCCAAAACTTCAGGTTGCTTCGGTCAGAAAAGAAATACTTTTATAAAAATATTTTTTAATATTTTTAAATTTTTCTCTTATTATATATATATATATATATATATATATATTAAATTAAAAAAAAGTCTGAAGCCTTTTCCTAAATAGGCCGAAGTACCAAATTACTTCATTTTTCTCATCAAACCGAAAAAGACTCCGAAGCGAATAAGACAATGTTGATTTGAACTTTACAATAACTTTACTACATTAATTCAAAAATACCATTGACACAAACTTTCCCAAAATAGCCTTACATGATATTCAATTGTCCAAAATGCCTTAATAAAAATAAAGCATATTTCTAACATCCCTCCTTAAGCTCGGTTTTCTATTTTCGTTATGCCTAACATCTATCTCAATTTTTAAAATATTTCATATTCTAAGGAGTTTTATGAAAATATTAGCAATTTGGTTTTGTGTCTTTGTGTAAACAGCTTCAACTTTCTTCTCATTCATTTGGTCTCAAATGAAATGAAACCAAGTCTCCATATGCATGCTTCTTTCATGAAACATCAAGTTATTTGCTAATCCAATTGTTGACTTATTCTCTATGTGGATCCTGACAAGAGTCTCTTGAGGATTTAAGATGTCCTTAAGATGATTCCATATCCACAATGCTTAACAAGTACTTGAACTGGCGGCTATATCCCAAGTTAAAAGTGTTATGATTAGTTGTTTATTTGATGACAAAGTGAATATCGTACTCCTAATGTAGAAGACGGAATCGGAAGTGCTTTTTCTATCATCCAAGTGTCCAAATGCTATCAACAAAACCTACAAGATAAAAATCATGTTTAAAGAAATCGTGATCAAATGTGCCTTTGATATAAAGGAGAATCATTTGTACTACTCTCAAGTTATAAGTACCTGGAGTATCTATGTATTGGCTAGCCAAATCAACTCTAAAAAAAACATCAATTCTCGTACATGTTAAGTGTTGGAGGCTTCCACAAGACTTTTAAAAAAAGTAGGATCAACCCTCTGTCCATCACCTTATTTCCTTAATTTTACACCACAATCCATTGTTGTATTATCCATATTGCAATTTCTATTTTAAATATCTTTAGTGTTTCTTTTGCATAAGCCTTTGATGATACAAAAAGTCCATCATCCATTTGTCTAATTTCGATGAAAATAAGACATGAATGGAATGTCGGCCATTTCAAACTCTTCAACCATGGACATTTGAATTCGTTTAAAATGGCTGGATTATTTATCTCTTTACAGCACAAATTCAGCGAGATCTCAAAAGAAACCTCAAAAAAATTTATGAGTAAAAATTGAAGATCGGTAGATAATTTGTGGGATTCGTCAAATTACAGCTCAAAAAGGCTCCATATCTTGAGAGATCTAATTTCTTTAAGACTCGCTAGTAGTTCGGGCTCAAGATCACTAAAAATTCTATCAGAAAACCCAAAAATAGAAAATAAGAAAAATCAATCTAAAGATGTTGAGAGAAGCTTCCAACATGTTGAGTGTTGAAAGCTTCTCACAAGACTTTAAAAAAAAAGCAGGATCAACCCTCTCTCCATCACCTTATTTCCTTAATTTAACACGACAATCCATTTTTGTATTTACCGGATTGCAATTTTCTATTTTAGATTTCTTGAGTGTTTGTTTAGCATAAGCCTTTTATGATACAAGAAGTCCATCATCCATTTGTCTAATTTCGATGAAAATAAGACATGAATGGAATGTCGGCCATTTCAAACTCTTTAACCATGGACATTTGAATTCTTGAAAAATGGCTTGGATTATTTCTCTTTACAGCACAAATTCAACGGGATCTCAGGAGAAACCTCATCAAATTTATGAGTTAAAATTGAAGATCGGTAGAAAATTTGTCGGATCCGTCAAATTACAACTCAAAAAGACTCCATATTTGGAGAGATCTAGTTTCTTTAAAACTCGCTAGTAGTTCCCGGTCAAGATCACTAAGAATTCTACCAGAAAACTCAAAGATAGAAAATAAGAAAAATCAATCTAAAAATTAAGTTAAAACCAAAACTAAAAAAAATATAAAAAAACAAAAAAACTTACTGCACCAGTATTAGACCGCGGGTTGGTTATGTTGTGCTCCTTCACGTTTTCTTGAAGAGCGCCGACGTATTTCTCCCTAAAAAAGATATGGCAAAGATTTTTTTTAGTTATCTTTCTACTTGGAGGGAGAGAGAGAGAGAGATGCATGTACAAGTTGATTAACCTTGAGTCAATGGGCCAATGACGTCCACACGTTACTTACCCCGTTAGCACCTACTCAATAGTGGCTTAAAAAATTTGTATAAGGTGTTGCTTATACCATAGAAATAAGGTTCTTCTAAAAATCTATTAAAAAATGTTGTTCCGAGGATGGAAAATCCTTTGATTGATTATCTCAACTTCGAGATATATGGATCAAAAAAACGTTTCAAGTCTTAAAAGTAATACATCTTGTAGTATATTATTCAGACCAATCATTTTCAAGATTTCAAGTATTTATAAATGGAAAGGTCTCTATACTTCCCTTACAACATAGAAGATCTATGCTTCCCCTACTATCCAGCTTTTCAATTTTGATCAAGAGAGCCACTCACTATTTGATCATAGATCCGACGCCTCAAGGTATTTTATTTTTATTTTGTTTTATAAAATTGTATGAATATTAAATTTGGTACGTGCCATCTTCTCATTGGGGCACACCTATAAAAAATATTAAAAATAACTTTTGATAAAATATAATGATCAAAATACCCCTTGAAAGTTTCAAGGGTATTTTGGTTATTTTATTTTATTGAAAATATATTTTTTATATTTTTCATTAGTACAAGTTTAATAGAGGATTGAACGTCCAAAATTCGGTGTCAAAATAGTTTATAGAAAAAAAAAGTAAAAATAAAATAGTATAGAGATGTGACATTGTGATTGGGGCAATCTTAACCCTCCATTCATAATGGATGGTTGGATAAAGGGAAGTATATAAGTTTGATGTTGTAAAGAAAGTATAGAAAGTTTGCCCTTAAGTTGATCAACATTAGTTTTAGAGGAGTAAAAATGGATTTAAAACCATCGCTAAGAGTTTTAATATTAAAAATGCATCTTTTGTCAGAGTTTGGAGGTGCGCATTGATAATTTAAGGTGTTCTCCTTATGTAAACGACACCCATATTAGGTGAGGCATTTGGGACTTGACTCAAAGCTTAATTTTTTCTAACCAATACTTTAATAAATTAACTTCGATGTGAATGAGGTGGTATCTTAGGCGATTCAAGAACAAAAGAGGTGGTATCTAGGTGAGAACCTTAGAAAATTAATGATGAGCTGGTCAAAGAGGGAGTACATTGGCATATGCGATATGTTCTCTTGTTTAATTCCTCGTCCTTTTGATTTTATTTTATTTATTAGCTAAATGCCAAAAGATTTTATGCTCTTGGGGGAGCATATTGTCCATTTATTCGGGTGAAAACTAATATAGGAGTAATTTTAGGTTCCAATTTTCGGCTGAAAGTTACTTTTAAGGACTTTGAAAAAATGAAAAAATTTTCATGCTCTCTTAAGAGCATGTAGTTCATTTACTTCAACCTATAATAGCATTTTTGTGACCCAAAATTTTGGGATGCTGGCAAGGGTGGCAATGGACTAAACCCGGATCCGACTATAGACCCATCCTCGGGTCTAGGTATGGGTCCAAATTTTGGACCCAGAAGGTCGGATTCAGGTCTGGCTCCAGCCAGACCCGACCACCAATAATATAAGTATATGCAGGTATTTGCCAATATGTTTATTTCTTAGGAATTTCTTGTTATTACGTAAAACGGTAAGGAATGTGGATATATGTGGGCATTCATAAATGTTGTGCAATAGTGTAAATGTTGCCAATAATATAGATATATGATGGTAAAAAAGACAAAAAAAGAAGAAGAAAAGAAATAAAAGAAATTATAGTCATGGGTATGCTTTCTATGCTTCCCCTACAGCATAAAACTTCTATACTTCCCCTACCTAACTATCCATTATGAATGGACAGTTGAGATGGTTGCAATCATAATGTCATGTCACTATACTATTTTTTTTAAAAAAATTTTTCTACAAAACATTTTGACATGAAATTTTAGGCGTCCTTTTCTCTTAAACTCGCACTTATAAAAAAATATGAAAAGCTATTTTCAATAAAATAAAATAACCAAAATACGCTTGAAAGATTCAAGAGGTATTTTGGTTATTATATTTTATTAAAAATTCTTTTTAATATTTTTTTTAGGTGCGCCACATTGAGAAGATGACACGTAACATATTTCATATTCATACAATTTGTAAAAAAAAATTAAAAATAAAATACTCTGAGGTGTTGGATCTAGATCAAGCAATCAGTGGCTCACTTGTTCTAAATTTAACAGTTGGATGGATGGGGAAATATATATCTTTTAGAATGTAGGGGAAGTTTAGAAACTTTTTCCCATAGTTATAGGGTGATAATTGACTCGACTAGACCAGGGATGGTGATAATTGACTCGACTAGACCAGGGATCCGACAGGGAGAGCCGACTTCGGATCCGGGTATAGTTCCAAATTTTGGACCCAAAAGGTCGGGTCTAGGTCCAAAGCCTGGACCCAAATACTCTTTGGGTCGAGTTTTTGTGTCGACCCGTTGCCACCCCAAAAGCAGCCTCGCTGATAAGACTGTGTCTAAAGAAATTGGACTTTGTGTCACTAAGTGTATGATTTGTATTCTTTAATGAGATTGGTCACCAAGTTGAAGTGGTTTAAGTCCCAAAAAATAGGAGGTCCTCCTTGCTCGACTTTTGGCTGAATGAGCAAACGGAAAGATTGTTCATGCAGGACCATAAAATCGTTTCACTTCATTATAAAACACTCCTCTGATGTCTTCCGCCCATATGCTTTCGTTTTATTATTTATAAAAAGAAGTGTTGCAGGGAACTTTTTTGTCTTATTAAAATTGCACTTAGGCCAAGGAAAATTGTAATTAGGTCTCCTTCTGAGAAAGAGATTGAGGGAGAAGAAACGGTTCCATCCTCTCTCTCTCAGGCCTCCACTGAAGGGCTCACGGCAAGTTTTCCGGCGAGATTCCTGTGACGTTGCGGGCAAGACTACGGCCACGAGTTTGTACCAGGTGAGTCTTTTTTTGCTTTAATATTTACTACAGAATATACAAAAGAAATGAAGAAAATAATGTTTCTTTTTCCCTTTGTTGGGTTTGGGAAAATTGTTTTTTGCTTTACTTTCGGGCAATACTGCAGTGAGAATCCGGCAATAATACGCATAATTGTTGTGTTTTACACTCTTTTTTTTTTTTCTTTTTTTCTTTTTCATTTTCTCTTTCTTCACTGTTTTCCCTTCTCCTATCTTCTTTGGAAAAAGTGCTTTGAACCGTTCAGCTCATCAACGATATAAGAAACCAAAAACAAAAAAAATGTAAAACTAAATCTATCAAATCTCTAAACTTTCTTTTGCTTACTAAAGTCAATAAAAAAAAATTATTTGATTTTTTTTCTCTTTTGGTGTAGTTGATTATGATAGGTTCCTTACCCATAATAGAAATGGAGCTAAAGACATAGTCACCGTGACCACCAAGCCTTGAGTCCAATCTTGAATTGATTTGAAATTGAAATTGAAATTGAAAACTCTTGCATTGCCATAAAAAATTGGAGAAAGCTTAGAGAGACAAGTTAGGACATGGTCATATGGGTTTTGTAGATAGAAGTTAGCAAATGGTCATATGGGTTTTGTAGAGAGAAGGCAAATGGGAAATTTTGGGGTATTGATTGTTTCTTAGGTAGAATTGAGAAAGGGGGTGTGGTCGTAGGGTAAGGGGGATTGATTATTTTTAAATTATTTTGAATTTTTTATTAATTTATTAATCATTTAATTTCTTAGGCTAGGTCGTTTTTTTCCCGGTCCAAGTAGAGCCGTCACCGATTCATGCTGATCGGTTTTGGCAACATTACATTATAATAAGTCGTTGTGTGGTCTCAGGTCCAGCATATTAAAGTAGATCATAACAAAAACTCTAAAGGGGCCTGCCCTGTATATCAAAACAAAGTACAGCCTCTCAAGCTTTACAGGTTCATGACACAAGAAACAAATATGGTGGGAACGGGAAGGGAGCAATCGCAGTCGCAATGGATGCTGGATTTGATGAATGGGAAGGTCAGTATAAACAGAGAGAAGGAGGCCGAGGAATGGAGACAACGTTGCATTTACAAAGTCCCAGGCTTCCTGAAAGAGCTCCACAAGGAAGCATTCATTCCCAGGGTTGTATCATTTGGCCCCTTCCACCATGGCTCGCCGCACCTCCAACCCATGGAGCAACACAAGCGTCGTGCTCTCCTCCATTTCCTTGACCGCTCGGAGCACCCTCTCCAAGTCTACCTTGATGCGCTCCAAGCCAAGGAGCAGGCGATCCGGGGCTGCTGGGAGTGGCCGGATGACCTCGTCCCTCTCGAGAGCAAGGATTTCCTTAACATGATGCTGCTCGACGGTTGTTTCCTGCTCGAACTCCACCGTGTCAGCCAAACAGATGGAGAGACAGGCTATGCAGATGAGGATCCGGTGTTCGGCTCAAAATCGGCATTATTCTTTGCACACCACAACAATTACCATGACCTTCTGATGCTGGAGAATCAGATCCCTTCGATGGTCTTGAACACTCTATTGGACCCACTTGGAGCAGGGATCTGCACCCGGATGAATGAGCTGATTCTTGAGTTATTAGGGGAGGAGATCGAGAAGGAAGTTTTTGGGGGAAAGATGGGGTTGCATCCGCTACAAATTTACATGATGAACAGTCTGTGTGGCGATGTGCCTGAGCTCGAAGAGTTAAGCGACCCGGAGTCATATTTCCAGAAGTTGCCTTCCGCCACGGAGTTGCATGAAGCTGGGGTGAGGTTCAAATCTAGTAGCAAGAGTGGGCTCATGAACATCACCTTCAACCACGGAGTGCTACGGCTACCATGGATACCCATTCACGGATCTACGGTACTCAAACTGCTACCTGTAACTCTCTACATCCAAACCCAAAATTGGATTTGCTTAAACATCGAATTAAATTAATATTTGGAAACTTTCTTTTTTGACGTTTATTTTATTATTTGAAATTGTTCTTTACTTTTTACTATTTTTAAATACTTATTTTTTTTTTTTTTTTTTTTGAGTGACGGTTAGACCAATTTTAACTAAATCAAATCTCTCCCTGATTGAATAACCGATGTAATCATAATATCCAATTGGTACATCTATTGAGATGGGAGGGCGTAACAAGTAAGACACGATCATAAAAAACAATTTCCCAAAATTATACATTAGATATCTTCGCCCCCCATCCAGGAATCCCATAATGGATTTTGTGTTGCAATAGTCAACACGAAAACACAGTGATTCAAACATCCCCAATCGAGCTCAAAATCAGCCGAATTAGATTGGAATAAAAAAGGTGAATGGTCATGGCCTAGAAATCTATAGAATTGCATGATTTTCGGTTTTCTATTCCAAAACTTTTTCTAATAAAATTTGGTTTGAATTGGGAATCATTATGGCTAGGGGAATGACAACATATGCCAAGTTAGGGCCTGATTTTGGTTCTTTAAACACTGCTACTTGCAACCCAGCCTGGAACCCGAAAACAAAGTATTATTATAATTGAAGATAGTGATTCTGTCAATTTTTTTTGGTTTGGTGATAGCTAAATCACCATACCTATATTTTCTTATAAAAGATTAAGGGTATTATTGTAAAAAAAAAAGAACTTTGTTGAAAAACAAGATAGTGATATCTATATAAGAGTTCAAAGAAGACATAATACCCTTCCTTTTGAAGGTCACCCCTTTGAGATTATGGGAATGGATTTCTAAGATGGAGATGAGTCTCCTAGAGAAAGAGAGACATGACCTCTTAAAGAGAAGCTGTATTCTTATGAGTTTTGGGTTGGTAAGACTTCCACTTCTAGAGAAAGAAAATCTCTCATTTGTTCTCGAGGTTATCTTTCCAGTAACAGTATTGTAGTGGGAAAGAATGTATTGATTGGCGGTGTTGCTCAATCCGGAGAGCAGGTTTAGAAGGAAAGATCGGTGATGGTCTTTTACCAATGTTTATAGAGAGATATATCTCTTGTAACCTAAAACTGTAATCTTCATTGTGATAGTGGATTTCTAGTTGCGAGTCCATGGATGTAGCCCTACATGGTGAACCACGTAAATTGTGTGTTGTTGTAGTGTGCTTTTTATGTTTGTTTTACTTCTTGCATTCGATCTATAGTTGTATGCATCTTCTTAGCATTTGACCAATTAAGTATATGATCTTGGGTAGGATTCCGGTATTTGGGATTCCTGATTCCGCAAGTGAGGATTTCTCGAGAACCCTAAACTTTTTCAGTCTTTTGTATTTACAAAAGACCAAAAGAATCGTATTTGAAAGAAATTTATGATTTCTAATTTCGATCTTTAAGAATCTATTTTATTTATTTACTTATTTTGCAAGTAGTAGTGAATGCAAACACCTTTCAAGTTGGAAAAGTCTCCTTAAATGACTCAATGTGCAGGCTGGTTTTATAAATTAATTTTCCATCCAGCCCGTGATTTTGATGTTTTGAACACATTTTGGAAATGAGTTTCTTGGGTGAATCAAAGTATTTAATTTTATTTTTTTCAATGCAATGTTCTATGATTAATTTGACACATAGCATCAAAGTATTTTATTTTATTTTATTCAATGCAACGTTTTATGATTAATTTGACACAATGTTCTATGATGAATTTGACACATATAGCATGTATCCAATGCGGTAATCACTTTGGTGTGCTTCTAAGAGTTGGGCTTGATTTATAGGACTAAATTCCAATAAAAATTCAAAAGAACGTGAGTTTTTATAGAACTCACCTCTAGAGAATCTAGGCTAGGGAAAAGACTTGCGTTTGTTTTTCTAAAAGTATTTTTTCATATTTTAAAAAAGTTTCGCATTTGTTTCACACTTTTTATGAAAAGTTCATAAACTAATCTTTCAACAAAAGTTCTCATTCTTTTGTTAAAAAGGGAAATATTAAGTTCTTAGGGAGAGGCTAGGAACTTAATCTTTCTGAACTTTTTGTTGATCACTATTTACTAT